TGTGTGTAGAAACAAGAGAAACATATTGACCTGTGTGTAGAAACAAGAGAAACATATTGACCTGTGTGTAGAAACAAGAGAAACATATAGACCTGTGTGTAGAAACAAGAGAAATCTGGTCACCTATTACACCATTACGAGACAGGCTATTTTTCGAAAGCGAAGACTAACCTTCTTCATAGCGTTGCTTAGCAACCACAAGTCCTTCTCTTTCCCACTGGCTTTCAGGGAACTCTGAAGTCTGAAGAGAAATAAAATATACCCGGCACCTTTACCGTGCGGACACACTAACCGGGACGACTTGAAGAAAGCCAACCAATCATGACACAGAGTGAAAACAAAGGAATCAAACTCAAGTCAAACTGGAACCAATCAGGAGCAAGCAACAAAGCCTGGATCTGATCATATATCTGAGAAAGACTTAGGTGATCAACAACCATGGGAATGAGAGATTGCAATTGTGTACTAAAGATGTTTCTAGCCAAGCTAGACCATAATGCAACATATCTACTATGTGACAGGAAAACAGCTCAAAGGCTGGCGCGGAAAACTGGTAACGAGTAGGGCGCGCGCTGAATCATGTCTTTTTTTAAAAGGACGCCATTTTTTCAATATAACGGAAAGCTTAGCAAAGTCTTTTGAAAAACAGAACGAAAACCAAAGTAAATTTGAGTCGATTTAAAATTTAAAACCTGAAAAACGAGAAAGACTAATGGCCTCTCCTAAAAGAGCCCCATGATGCAGTGCGCGATATACTCCTTATCAGTTTTCTGCGCAACTTCAGAAAGACCAATACCTCCTTGGGTCTGCCGTTAGGATGACAAGCTGCTAGAACAATCCTTACGAGTAGACTGGCACAAGGAACAGGTCTGGAGGCAAAATGAATAAAAAATATATATCAAACGCGACAGTTATTACCCGGAATGAATACTATTTACGATTTTTCTGTTGTTTTTTTTTTAAACAAACATATTACAAAACAGCCACCGCCGACTATTTCAAGTGGAAGAAAAGCAAACGCAAGACGTCAAATGACTAATAAAATAGATGAAGTAATTACAAAAATCGATGTTCAAGTATTTGTCAGCGCTTTTTTCTTGATACTTATCAAAAAGGCTAAAGCGTTGGTCAAAAATTCTAGGTAAATAAATTCTGGTGTTGTGATCAAAAGTTCGAAATATCTTTATTAATTCTACATCCCAACGCAGATGAATATCAATCAAAGTCAAAATACCGGTTAAAACAACGTACTTTAACTTTTGTATCAAGGATGGTCCAAGAGGCTGACTGAAGTCTGGGGCTCCATTGAATATGCGTATCTGATGTGCACCTTCGTTCAACGAAAACTGTAAAATAGAAATGAAACAATAAGGGTTAAATATAAATCAAAACAATTAAGATGCGCGACGTGCCAGACGTTTCATTTTGTCAACGCTAGACTGGAAGGAAGGAAGGAAGGAAGGAAGGAAGGAAGGAAGGAAGGAAGGAAGGAAACAATTCGACGAACGGGAGAAAACAAAATAACAACTTTGCATTGACAAACCTTGCTTCAAGGAAGCATCTGTATTTACCTTTTCAGTATCACTGTTATTCGAAGGTGGATCAGTTGAACCAAGTTTTAAGAATATTGGTAGAACAGCGTAGCCAAGACAACAAAGCTTTTTCGATAAACGGTCAACGGTATATACCTGAAAGAAATCTTGATTAACATAAGCCGTTCCAGAGTTGTAGATATGCGTTGCATTATGAAACTGTTATATATCGAAATAAATCTGAAAATTAACACGACATCTAAAGAATCCTAGTCAACTACAATGCACTGGTCCCTGTGTTGTTGTTTACATCGTTCGCCTACGTCGTTGTCGAAGCCGATGGAGTAAAATTTCTGCAAATTCACTACGCCAATGTCCTCAAATTCCCAACGTTTCCTAACTTTCATTCCACAGCAAGTAGGTTAAATTTTTCAGAGTGATTCTCTTTGTGAAATTATGATTTTTCGGTCGTCCAACTGTTAGACATCACAACTTCCAAAAATCCACCTTAGATTCGTTGCTATAATTTCTCAAATCTCGCGAAAAGCTTTAAGTGACTGGACTGTGAAGATGACTTCCGCTCAGTTTGTCGAAATGTCAGTCACCACCAACAACGGTCTTTCTCATATTAAAAAAAATTATTGGTGGAATTGCAACTAAGGTAAAGAATACGGCATTAATTTTGACAAACAGACCGCAGACAGACAGTCACACAGACAGCGGACAGACCGCAAAGAGACAGTCAAATAGACAGACAGGCAGAAATATAGAATAGGCATTCCTTTGTCACACCTTAAGCATCAGTGTTGACGTGGCCGGAAAYACAGGTTCTCTGAACTCCAAACGATGATCAAATTCTGGATTATAAATATCTGAGTACAGCTTGGACTGGGCCTCAACATCTGGTCCGACCCTGAAACAAACAATGATAATAATAAAAATGATGACGATCATGATAAGATGATCATGATGGTGGTAGTGGCGGTGGTGGTGGCGATGGTGGTGGTGATGACGATGGTGATGACGTTGATGATGATGATGATAATGATAAGATGATTATGATGGTGGTGGTGGCGGATGGCGGTTTTCCTCCCTACACGAAATTCCACTTCTAAAATCTAATTCGATCATGAAACGAGGGTCAAAAAAGGGCTATATCTTAAACTCACTTGTCATAGTTCTTGTCCATAACTCGCCCGGCGACCTTCAAAAGAGAAATAATCTAAAGAGTTAGCGCTGTGTTTGAGTTGAATACCATTTCACTAGATTATGAAAAATACAGCAAATAGACCAGGGTTTTCGTGTACGGGAATATACCTTTTTACCCGATATGGCGAAAATCTTGAATTATATTTTTTAATACAATCCCATATGAAAGCTAAGACATACTTGGTTAACCCATACACAACGCTCACTAATGCGCATGCGTGGTGGCCAGTCAGAATTGTTTACCAAGGCAAATGAGTGGCGAAGGCAGGAGCAACTACGAGGGTTCAGAGGCATACACCATGCAAAATTTTGAAATTGAAACACTCGGAAATGCGATTCAGAGTTTTGAGGGGCATTTGTAACCTTTCACTGAGCCACATAGTGGTTAGGGCCCTGCAAGGAAACAGCTTCCATCAAAATAATAAGGTTTGACCCTGGAAAAAAGTTTTTTTTTTACTATGACTCTCTTCTCTGAAGCTCGAAGCCCGACACGAGTGAAAAAACGTCTGCGCATGCTCTGAATCCGTAGGCAAATTAGTCAAAACATATGTAAATTTGACTTTCAACAAGCCTGATAAATTGGACTTCACAAAATGCCAAAACTTAGTGTCCATGCTTGAAATATAAGGCTATTTCTTTCATATTGTGTTTGTTAATACAGTATCTTGGTCTGACAAAAGTATACTCTCGAACTTTTTTGTATACTTGGAGAAAACAAGCATTTATTTTCTCACTCAAACTCTTCAAAATTCTTAGAAAATGTGATAAAATGCACGCATGCGCAAATGGTTTTCTCTAGTGTCGTGCGGCCCTCCCCCAATAAAGAACGTTCCTTCCCAATAACTTGTAAGGAGACAGCGTTAAACAATGTCAAAATAATGTTTACAAATCTAAGATTTCAACCAAAATTAAAGATCAAGAAATGCCTAAAATTGTGAACACTTTAATAATGTTTACGAGGACTGTCATCTCACTCACGACAACTTCATTTTGAAATCATTTTGCCAAGTACATAAGTGATATAAAGCAATCATATCAGCTACGGTACTTCAGTAACTTTAATAACTTTAAATAAACAAAGTTAATATGAAATATTTTGCAGTGCCTCGCCATAGGTGAAAAAGTTTTTTGATGAACTTGGCGACGAAAATTCAAATTCTCACCAAGGGGTTTGACGGGTTTTCTAATCATTCCACCAAATTGATCAAAAAGTCATCGTCAAAACAAAAGACATGAATAACATTATGCAAACTGTTATTATAACTATTTTATTTTCAACTGGACTGACCATTTTAAAAAAGTACAGAATTCCGTCCTTTGACTCAGTAAATTTCAAATTAAAGTCATTTTTGCCAAAAGTTTAAAAAGATTTCGATGATCGGTCAGAATATTTCATCTGAAGCTGTTATTCCTCAAAAGATAATATTCGATTTTTTTGTTTTCATCTGCATTATGAATAGACAATGTATACGATTTCAGAGGATTCTCATTTTGCAAATACAAAACAATAAATAAATTCAGGCGAGTAGCATACATTATAATACGATAGTTAAGTGACATTTGATTTCCATTTTCCCAATAATCCTTTATTAAAAGATCATTACATTTCATGCACTCCAGAATTCTCCAGACGTGACTACTACCACCGCGTCTAAATCAGGCCCAAAACCATTACGATAACCTATACGTACTTTCTTCAAGATGGAAAATACAACGTATGAAGAAAATAAGTGCCTTATTTTGCCAGCTGAACTTCAAACAACCTTCGATTTTTTCTCAAGAAGCGTACAGTACAATTTACTTATTTTGTCGATGATATGTGGCATTCTCTCTCCTTTGGTAGTTTGCACCAATTTACTTTTCCTACGAACCATGACAAAAAATCCGTCGCTTCATTCTCCACCAAATATTCTCCTATGTTCCTTAGCGACAGCCGACTTGCTTTCTGGTTGTATAAGTCTTCCTTTATATGTTGGATGGATGTCAGTCTATGAAATCAATCTGTCTTGCATATACAATAGGTTTGTTGTTTTAACCTGCTTCATTATACATGGCTACTCGTTTTTCACTTTCGTACTCATTAGTTTAGAGCGTTACATAGCTTTGTTCTATCCACTGAGATATTTCTCTATAGTCACTGTAACTAGAACTGTAAAGACTGTGTTCTTCTTCTGGGGATATTCCTTGCTAAGTTGCCTTGTGAGTGGTAGTGTTTTTCACTTCAATGGGATGATTTGTACTGCTCTGGCAAACCTCTCTATCGGCAGTGGTATTATCATGGTATCGTATATCAAGATCATTAAGCTTGTAAGACGACACCGTCGACAGATACAAGCCCAGACACTTGCTCAACATCTTCCAAACATTTGTGGTTCATTGAGACAACGAAAGACAGCCATCACCATGGGATTAATTATTGGAGTTATGCTTGGATGCTACTTTCCCCTTTGCTGTGTTTACGGTGTCGTTTTGTTGAATGGATTCAATGAAACAACCATTCAAGCTCTTTTGGCTTGCTTCGCTGCTAGTATGAGCAGTTCGTTATGGAATCCAATTATTTATTGCTGGAGAAATCTAGAGATCAGAAACGCACTAATATCTCAGGCACAAGAGATCAAGACACTGTTTTATGGTTCTCAGTGAACACTGTACTAATATCTCAGGTACGAGAGATCAAGACCCTGTTTTACGGTTCTCAGTGAACACTGTACTAATATCTCAGGTACAAGAGATCAAGACCCTGTTTTATGGTTCCCAGTGACCACTTTACTAATATATCAGGCACAAGAGATCAAGACCCTGTTTTATGGTTCTCAGTGACCACTGCACTAATATATCAGGTACAAGAGATCAAGAACCTGTTTTATGGTTCCCAGTGACCACTGTACTAATATCTCAGGCACAAGAGATCAAGACCCTGTTTTATGGTTCCCAGTGACCACTGTACTAATATCTCATGTACAAGAAATCAAATTAGAAACGAATTCTAATTTTCGAAACGGTTGCTACAACATGCTGCAATGCTCCATGCAACTTGTGTCGCAAGGCTGTTGCCAGACAAGTTGCAGAGAAAATTGCTTTGTGTAAGCACGCCTTCAAATAGGTACGTTTTTCGGGCCATGCAAATTTCGATACCTTAGAGACGGTAACACTGTCTGGTAGAAATCGAACACCATCAATATAAAGATCAAAACCACTTCCAGGAGTGAACATTTTATTGGTAACGAAGGATCTGGCATTCTTTAGCCACGCATTCTGTTGGGGAAAAAAGATATCGTATATTTACAATTGCTGAGTATTACGAGGTTCATCAAAGTTGTTTTTTTTATTGATATTAAATCAGCGAGCCTCTGGTTCGGAGGCAGAAATCAATCTGTTTCCCTGGCGTTTGACTGCTTGGGAAAGGTCTATATAATGTGAATGTTAGTTGGGCAATAGAATACATACCTTCGGAACTTCGTTTTCCTCGACATATTCAGGAGGAGGTGATGGACTTTCAAGGGGCCGTTGGAAGCCAGAGAATATTGCCATCGTAAGCGCAGCCCGTCCATACCTACTCCACTCACTCGGGTATTTGTCAATCTAAAGAAGTAAAGCAATAACAATCACTTGTGTGTTGGTTAGTTCTCTTCCGGAATATATCTACCAAAAGGCACACAAACTCCATTACTACGATAAGCGATACTTCATGAGCTCAGGGAAATTGTGCCAAAGTTTTTTTGTCACGAGTGACCAATAGGTGGCATGGGTTACAATCATTCGAAGTTGAGAAAAAACCCGGGTCGAGTTGGTATGGCAGTGCATTTTGGGGCTGTTTTAGGGGAGATATTTCCAAGATGGCGTCTATTTCATCCCTAAAACAGTCCCACAGTGCACTGCAATGCCAACTCGACCGAAGTTTTCTTCAACCGGAAAGGCTAATGTACATTCATCTTCCATCTAAATGAACCTTATTCTACCCTTATAGCGTTTGGCTTTTTTATTTTACTCTGCAGATGATGAGAACACAGAATATTATTAATATTGTTAATTCAGCTTCCACCCATATTGTTTTATGCTCAGTCTGGTTCGTCTGTATCTGACTTGTAGTTGTCCATGAAAATACTGAACCGATTAACTTTTTTTCTTGTAATATACTCCGCATGGCCCAGACATTTAGCTCGATTAGTTTCTAAAGCTATTTCTAAATGTTTGTGCTCTCATCAACTGATATACCAAATAAGATAATTTTTGTACTTAATTTACTTTCTTTGGGCACAATAAAGTTATTATTGTTGTTGTTGTTGTTTGGCTGGGATAATATTGTTTGAAATAGTGGTATTCTGTTATTTACAGTCAATTCAAAAAACGTTGTCGTTGACCGGCTCAAGCCTACGCGACTGAACCGAAAGGAATATGGGTAAAATTCACTGAAGCGGTTGAATATTCGTTCTGAATTAATTGCTCCCGCTAGAAATAAGATAATAATGGCGAGAAACAATCCATAAAATGCATGTCTTTGGGCTTAGGGAAGAAAAACAAAGTAGTTATGATTCAGTTCACGATTTCGAAAATATGAAGGCATTAAAAAAACGTCTCCTTCAACACTTCCCGCTCGCCTACGAAGGTTCGTGCTGTAAACCAGGCATAACTAGTCAGATAAAATTATGCAGTCAACTCGGCTTCAATGATTACTACCCAGAGTTCCTTTCGGTCCAGTCGCGTAGGCTTGCGTTGGTCGATAACAACGTTTTTTGAATTGACTGTATATATACTATTCATTACCTTGACTGGCATATCAGTGATCTCGGGTACCGGTGGAAAAAATATGGGAACTGTATGAATCCCAACATTGAGCGACGAACTGCTCCCCACTCCTAGCAAATCAAAACAGAATACGGTGTTAAGTGGGTGGTTAATAGAGAATAAGAATGATCGTGTTGACAAGGAAAAAAAAAAGAAAAAATGAAACAGGAAAAAAGTCATAGAAAATTACGTACTGCAATTTTCATAAACATGCGAACTCTGTGTCTACGAGCTGCCCGCAGAAGTTTGGTTTGTCGCTGCTGTCAATCAAACCTAATCAAACCTAATCGTGTGCAAGTCGGAGGAAATTTAGATTTCTCACCCCACCTCACCTAGCCTCTTCGCGCTCAGTTGCGCATGCCTTGAGACTAGAGTATATAGAGGATGTTACATGGGCGTGCGGAGATACGAAATTTATAGAGTGAGCCAAGCGCCCATGTAATATTCTGTTTATTATATAATTATCCATAAAATCAACTTAAAAAGCTTTTTATTATTATAAAAAGTTTTTACTTATAAACTAATAGCATGGTAACGATATTTTCACATGTGAAAATATCAGTTTTTCGAAAAGGATAAATATAGGTATTTTATGGATAATTATATGATAACTACGGTTTCCTTAATAATCATGATAATAATGTTATACGAAAAAGGGTTATTAGCCCTTCGCCCATCCCGGAGGACCAGGTGCTGTATTTGTCTTTACTTAGATTTTTAAAACCTGATTATCGCTGGGGTGACTATCAAAAAAAACTGATATCATAGGTGGGTATAATCAGATGATTTGAAATAGTGACGCAGAAACGACGTCACTGTAAAACAGAGGTGTCCATGAAGTCTGCGAAAATTGATCAGCGAAATATAAAAACATGTCCCGGCCATTGGAATACAAATATAAACTCCTTATTTATTGTGTTATTATCAACCTCCTATTAGTAAGGTTTTTTTTTCATTTGGTGGCCTGGAAATCAATAATTTCAAGAGGAAAAGTGAAACCTCAGTATTGCAATTTTTCTCGATTCTGATTGGCTAAAAATGTTTTCTCAGATCAGCTGAGGTACAGGTGGATATCAAGAATTCAGCCCAATGTCTTCCGKTGTCTCTATTTTTACCTTGGGCTGACTGGCGACTAAGTCTCCCATTGCTGTAACCCAAGGGTATGAGTGTCCATGCTGCTAGTCTGCTTTCATCAAGTAGGTTCACTGCGGGAATTTGGTCTGTGCCTGGGTCTTTTGGTTGAAGATACACGCGTACAACTACAATGGACTTGCTGTTCCATTGTACTTGACGAAAACGAACCTGAAAATAACAAGAACAGGACGGAAAGTTTTTAGGGTTTACGAGAAAATTGAAAAAGAGGAGAGGAGAGGAGAGGAGAGGAGAGGAGAGGAGAGGAGAGGAGAGGAGAGTAAATACAATGCTACAAATCAATCATGCAGTGGGTGATAACTTAGTGGGTGATAACCGGCTTTGTTAGTAAGTTTAAATTTCGCCTTACTCTACTCCCGTACGTCATCGACTTGCGCGCGCATGCTCAATCCGTTCGTTGTTTTGATCAATTGAAATGAAAAGGAAAGAGCGCTCGAGCACAAGTTGATGATGCACAGGGGGACGGTAAGGCGAAATTTTAACTGCATCCAGTTTCTAAAAATAGCCCAACCGGGAATTTACATGGCGCGCGCCTTATTAAGAAGTTTCCCTCTCTTATTTACGCTGTCTTGATGCTTATGAATGTGTGGGTATGTGGGTATTTTAACTACTTAAGGAGGATGCCATGCTGTACATTAAACTATAATACGGTAGTCTGATCGAAGCTCATAAGATCTTTCATTTTTGAGATTTTTCTTTATGACTCTGCATCTTGTTTGAGGGCTTATACGGGCATCCATTTTCATCATAAACCCGAGGGATTGTGATATTGTAGGAAACTCGTTTTTTAAGAAAGAAAAACAAATACAGGAAAATTATGTATCACTGATGTTATGTAGTAGGAGTTTTCATTATAGCTATTAGATGTAGGATTATAATATTCTAGAAAACTCAGTTCTTTTTCATTGAAAGAAGAACAAATACAGTGAAATTTATGTATTATAACTTATATCCAAACCCTATAGCGAATGATACATAATTTTTCTGTATTTTATTTTTCTTTCTATGAAAAATTAACCGAGTTTTCTATGATATCATAATGCTACATAATCTTAAATCTAATACATATAGTGAAACCCACTACCCCATATAACCACAGCCTGATAAAAATACCATCGATCCTTTCTTCAGAATGTTTACCTACACATTAAAAAACTGCCCAATTAGATTGTTATAACGATACAAACATCCAGTGTGCTTGAGTTAAGATCAAAAGCACTTGACTCAAGAACTGACCAATTATTCGCTAATTTGTCTTCTCTTTGTTTTTACTCTTTTAGTTTCAGACAATTTCTAGGCCATTGATATTGTAAAAGTTGAAAATTATATCTTAGTTGACTAGCTATATATTTAATGTCCATGTAGAAGTAGGAAAACAAGTGTAAAATTGTTTGTTTGTATGGTTGACTATTAAAGCAATGATATTTTTGCCCTAAAATAAGAAATAAAAAAAAAAAAAAGAGGAAATCCCTTGCTGTCGGTGTTAAAAGCGGAAAAATCCTTTTCAAGCTCATTATCAGATCAAAATAACCGAAGCCGTTGAAAACCTTCCTTCAATTTGGACACTTTAAGCTCGTTTTCCAAGTCTAGAGGCGAGAGTACATCAATAATTCACTGTTGATATACGAGAAGTCTTTTGATTGAGTTCATGAATTATTTTCACAATTTAAATGACTGGAGTTTTGAATCTGTTGGAGCTGAAAGAACCAATGAGAGTAAAGCGTCATGTGGTCAGAGACAACGAGAAAACACGCCCAGCACTGCAAGGGCTTCCCAGTCTTAAGTAAACTCGATGAACACGCATAAAATTTGTCGTTGGAAAAAAATTCGCGGTCAAAATCGTAACAGATATACCCAAAGATTTTCAATAAATATCCCAAAGGAATTAAATTAATTAAGAAGTATATTGACAAGTATCAAAATTTAACCATTTGTTCGTCCGCAAAATTCGCAAACTATAAATATTAAAAATACTTAAGAATGGTCGCAGTCTCTTCAGTTTATATAGGAAATCCTTGAACTATCAAAATCTTAGTTTTATCATCTTGAAAATAATTGTCAATTCCCTGCTTTTAAGTCGAGAACAGGTATTATTTAACGAATAAAAGGAATTAATTTTGTGTGCAATAATCTCTCTTTTTCTGTAATAAAATATTTAACAGAAAACAGATAACATCCAATACACACTGGCCGTGAACGTGTCAATTACATTGTGATGCACATAATGCAAAGCCTAAGAAACACACACACACCAAGCCGTACGACTAACTCCACAAAAAACAAAGACACTGAGCGACAGGTAGAGGTTCTGAATGCTTTAAATATTAACAATCTAAATACGCCAAATATTTTTTTGGCAGCTTTGGGTCAGAGACGCGGTCACTCTCTTTAATGATCGAAAACTATCGATCAAAAACTTGCTAATGTTTCCTGAGGAACGAAGGAGGCGACGCTTTCATTTGCCACTGAAGATCTCTGGTCTAGACAAACTGCCAAAAACGACTTTACCAAATCTACCCTGAAGATTTCCTTAAGAATTCAACTGTTGTTTTGGTAGAATACAGAAGGAGTTACTCAGGATATTTTAAAAATTTTAACTCCCATATTTTGTGGTATGGATACCGTTCGTGAGTCTGACGAGGAAGTATTTTCTGAGCACGAGGATCTGCCGTATCTTTACGAGGGAGAAAGAAACGATCAAGGTGAACGACACGGCAAAGGCAAAGCCAGACTTCCAAACGCTGACGTCTACGAGGGTGAATACCGGCACGGCTATCGACACGGCTTCGGTAAATATGTATTTAAGAAACTCAAGGGGCAGTCTCGAAGTGCTTGTTATATCGGTTATTACGAGAAAAATAAGAAGAACGGACAAGGAACGTTTTTGTATCCTGATGGAGCGAAATACGAAGGGAGCTGGAAAGAGGACCTTAGGGAAGGATTTGGAACTTATTATTACCCGAATGCGGACTCGTACAAAGGAGAATGGTCTAAAGATAAGCGCAACGGTCACGGGACATATACTTATGCTGCTAGCGGTATGGTCTACGAAGGACAGTGGGTTGAGGGCAAGCGATCAGGTAAAATAATATTAAGGCATATTTACCCTCGCAATRCGATCGGTCGCTCCGTAACCGACCATGAAAACGAAAGTGCCACATAATCTCGCTTTTATTTCTAAAGTAATTTTCGCGGCTTGTGCTTCTTTCAAACAACCAGGGGAGGACTAGGGAATGAACTAGACATGCTTGTTAAATAGTTTTGGAAACCTTAAACTTATAGGATGATATACGACTCACCGCTAACGATCTATTTTGGAGAGTCTTCTTCTGTTTCCCTCCCCATATCAGATATATTATATTTCGAAGCCTTAAATAACTGATAGATTAAACCTAGATAGAATCGAGGAGAATTCACATACTAAAATATTTTATGAATTCTTCAAGTAGACCATTATTAATACTGAGCTAACTTACTCGGAAAATCCTAATTTATGATTCTCATCAGTATTCCAGTTTACGATACCGCGATTTAAACTATTCGTAGAAACCGTGTCAGTCGTAATTATGATAAAACAGAACGATCAAAATTGAATGAATAACTAATGTGAACAACTTGAAAAACCACTTCTAGTAAAAAAATTCCAAAACTTTAGAAAAATAAAAACGTAAAAAAAACCTGATCAGAAAATATACTTTTTCAACTAAAAAAAATTTTTTCTTGTGTGATTTAGTACTTGATTTTTATCAATGTATGACTGGTCCAAAGCCCAGAGGGAGGTAGGCCATTACTCGTAAACCTAACATTTCTTTAATCACAAAATACAAGTTTCTTATTAATTTAATCAGAACGGCATTCCAATCAGCGTTCTTATTTACTTTATGTATGGTTATTACTTTCTTGTCGGGATCTTCAAAGGTTTTCTCAGCTTATAGTGTTTTTGTTTAGTTTAATCACAACGTTTTTTTGTTTAACGAGCGAATGTTTGGATGATCAGATCGATCAAAACTGGAGAATATCGTAGCCCAAGGTTAATTTATGACCGGCTGCAGATTGAAAAAATGCTTAATCTAATAAAATTTTACGTTGTTTTCAGCTTTTTAAATGTATTTGCAATTTTCCTTAGGGTCAGCTTCATCACCATCATCATCACCATCACTTATCACTATTATACATTATCATCATTATCACCATCACAAATCTCATCAGCGCCACTACCACCACGACCAATATTATCATCACCACCACTACCACTACCACCATCACTAACACCACCACCATCACTACCACCTCGCACCATCACTAACACCACCATCACTACCGTATTTATCATCATCATCATCAGCAGCAGCATCATATTTTTTTCAGTTATCCGAATAACTCAAAATTCTACCAAGTTGCCATAGACTTCCTCTTAAGTAAACTTATAAGGAATGAGCCCAAAAGAAGATCTTTACTCTTTATGGCCTTCAGCACAAACCAGAGCAGACCCGTTATTAATATAAACATTAAAACCACCAAAGTGGTCTTAGATCCAGTGTTACTGTCTAGTACTTCTATAATCATAACTTATTAATGGCATAAAAACTAATTTCCCTCTATATCTAATGTTATCTACCCACGTAAAAGGGTACAAATTATGTTCAAATCCACCGAATCGACATAAAGTATTCTCTAATGAGAATAAAGTAAAGTAGACGCGTCAGTGATGCAACAAAAGTTTTTGTTTATGAACGAATTCAGAAGTGCTTTATGATCACAAATTTAGGGCCTGGAGGGTCCCACGCGTTAGCAATTAGCAAGCTAAATTTTTTAGGGCTCCCCCACTTTCCACATATACACAAACACTTGATGAAAATTTATAGAGTAACACCCATCCGCTATTGCAGTGCATTTTGAGGCTGTTTAGGAGACGAAATAGACGCCATCTTGGAAATACGTCCCCCTAAAACAGCCCCAAAATGCACTGCGATTTCAACTCGACCCAGTTTTTCCTCAGCCCCGGAATAGCTGATACCCCCGATAAAATATTTTTTCCTAAAATAGATTTAAAAGTCTAACATTTACCCTTTTCTCAGGTCGAGGCAAGCTAACATTCGGTAAACAAAGTTACGTAGGGAATTTCCACGAAGACAAAATGTTGGGGCCTGGGACGTACATCTTTCCTAACGGCTCCCAACAGCATGGGGAATACATAGTGGTAGAGGAAGAAATAGAAGACGAAAACAGCCACCAAGATAATGAGAAAAGTAGAACCAAGCAACTGAAGATCAAGTGGATTAGCCACGGTGGAATTAACCCGCCAATTACAATCGTCAAAAAAGAAACTGCTATCAACTGAGTTAATTTGTTTCTGGGATACCTGTGTTAAGGGGGGATGTCATGGCTGCCATCACGTGTTGGTGCAAAACCTTTTCACTGCGATGTGCCATCATGCAAAACTGTGAAGTTTTCGATATCTATTAACTTAATTTATCATAAAAATTAAGTAAAATTCTTTCGTAATTTTCGTAAATTTTCGTACTAGAGATTCTTGTCATGGGGATGCCTATTCCAGGTGATACAAAATATGTTTTAATATATGTTTGCATGTTCGAAATATTTATATTTGTAATACATATATAATCTTAGGTAATATGTTATAAATAATAGGAGTTCCTCTCTTCCTTTTAAACTGGATTTATTTGTTACGAATGTCTCACAATAGAGAAGTAAAGTATGTTAATATTAAATATTTGATATTTTCTAATAAAATTTTTACTTAAGACTTATTTCAAATTCTAGACTTTTAATCAAATAGACCCTACTTACCTTGGGCGTGATATTTTACCATTTCAGACCACGTGCCATTTTCTTGAATAAGATTCTTTGCTTTTGTTGTATCCATATTCATGTCTCTTGACAAGCGCAATCGTTAGACAAATATTGATACTCTAGGGAATGACACGTGGTCTGGAATGGGAGGCATTACGCCCGAGGTCTTATTATGACGACCCATCCTCCCAATCCCTGTAGCTCCCAATCATACAGCTACCAGATTCTTTCGTTCCCCTTATTTTTCTGTCCAACCCCAAAGGCCAAACAAAAAAATAAGTGTGTATCCTGTTGCATGAGAAAAATATTTGGGGTCGGTAGGAGGTTTTTTTTACTGATACAACAGTGGAAATGAGCGTACTGGGAACCCTGTGGTGCATTTGGGAATGAAAAAATATTGGGGTCGGCAAAAATCGGCAAGACGATATTAGGGTCGGTCGTGCAACAGGAAACACTTAATTTTTTGTTTGGCCTAAGGGACGTCCTGAAGTTCTTTTAGGCCATGTGTCATTCCCTACAGTATCATTTCTTTGTTTAACGATTGTGCATGAGAAGACAAGATAATATGGATACAAAAAAAAATTAATTCTCAAGAGAATGGCACGTGTTCAGTAATGTGGTAAAACATTGTACCACAACGAATTAGATCTATTGAGAAAGCATTGACATCCCATCTGAATAGTGGTTACTAGCTTACCTCTTGTAATCCAAATACATAGATATCTTTTAGAAAATCTTGTTTGCAAGATTTCGTGACGCACATGACCGGAGTATCCCCTGCAGCTTTTAGAATCTAAAAAGATAAAAAAGAGAAATATGTAAGGATAGGATATTTAAAGACTGACTACAGTTACGAATTATTAGCCATCATCGATATACACTTATTTCAATAAAGTTAGTCACCAAAAACCTAGAAAGCTGAGATCACTGAGCATCATGGGAAACTTTTCATATCAAAAAAGCATATATATACAAAGCTTTTTTGATACAAACTGCAGCTCGATGATGCTCAGAAGAGGTGAGACTGTAACCGGTAAAAGATTCGCAAGTCCATGAACAGTTATCAAGCGGTTGAACGTGCAAAATGAATCTACCCATAATCCTTGTCGGCCTCAGCTTTATAGCTTTTCAGGTGACTAACTTTATTGAAATAAGTATATACCAATTCGGTCGAAAATGGCTGCATTTGCAGGGCTCAAAATAACGGTCGATCAGTCGCCGGTCATGATCACAAGCCAAATTAGTTTTAGCTCGGTCATACTTCGTTTCCGACTAAACGTTACTGGTCACGATGACAGGCAAGGCAAAGATTTGACTGGACAGGTCTCTGTTCTGGCCCAACATATTCTGATGTCCGGCTGTTATTTTAAACCCCGATTGTCGAGCTCAATGGCAAATACAACTACATCTATTTGAAATGCTTATTTTATTCAGCCTGGTCAACAGTTGAACAAGACTCAGTCCCAGTCCGATCATTCGATATGAAACTTGGCAATGTATTACAGGCAGGGCTGAAGACCGGATGCGCATGCCCCAAGTCTTTCAAGCAAGCCAAACAAGAAACAGTACGATCCAACACGAAAATCGGTCGAATAAATGAAATATCTCCAATCGAGAATAAAGCCTTGCAATAAAGATCTATTGAGCTTTGGCTGTTGTATCACAGCGTGGGACAATCACAACAGAGCTAGGCTCCAAACTCGGTGAAAGCCCAGATTAAATTGGAATTTAGGAGCTGATTTTTGCGGAGGGCGGAAAACTGGAGAACCCGGAGAAAAACCCTCGGAGCACAGGAGAGAACCAACAAACAACTCTACTCACATACGAACCCGGGGCGCATTGGTAAGAGGCAACGCATTAGCAGCGCGCGCCCCCGTGCCTCCCTCATATCGTGATGTAGTGTTAAATTGTAAAAAATAGTACCTCGCCATCTTGTTGACTGTAAGCTGTGATTTTGATCTTCGCTTCTCCATCGATAGCTTTATACAACTGGTCAACCTGGAATCCCGTGATCGACGACGAGGAATCTGAATGATTGTGCTCACTCCTGAAAGAGTATACATATAAAAAAAGTAAGCCTTGCTTTATGGCGCCATTAACTACAACTACCAGAATCCCTTGCAAATTTTGTTTTTGTTCAGTTAATTAGCAGAATTTGTATTACTATTCTCATGAAAAAATACGAAAGAAAATTCGCGAAGCATTTTGGGAGTGGTAGTAAATTAAAATAAAGCCATCATGCAAACTACTTAACGAATTGACATCAGTTTTTTATGTGTCTGTCCTCTTATTGACGATAAATTGCGTCATCACAATAACCAATCAGCGTGCGAGAAATTTGTAAGTTCTTGTAAAATCACTGTTTGACGTTTCAAGGACAAAAGTCCACTGGGAAAAAAATAGGACTTTAGTAGGATTTACTGCAGCAAGACCGTACTATTCGGAGCCTGTGTTTTGATTGTTTTGATTTAGTGTAATCGTTTGGGAGATCTATGTATTGTTTTTCAAACCAATCGTGAAACTTGTTGCAAGTGGTGCGGGGTGGACCACTTACTTCAAAGAAGTTAAGGAAATGGCACCACGCATGTCACGTCGGTAAGGTGCGGTGGGAGGTGGTAGTGGAGGCTCGTCAATTGATTCTCGTGTGGAAGGAGTTTTCCCAACAATTCTTTGCCTACTGTAGTGGTGAACTGGATTATCCTTTAAAGCAATAATATATCAGTATCAGTTCTATTCCATTATTAACAGCAATTAGCTGAGCAATGGGGACTTGAGGTTAAAGTTCTTAAGAAGAAGTCCTTTGAAGGCTTTTCTGTCTTTTGTTAATCTTCTGGCCTGATCTTTATCAATGTTTAGTAGTTTTTCAATCTTTATCCATGGATCTCTGACATATTTTTTGGTTGGTTTGATGAAAAGTACTTTTTGCGTAAGATTGGAGTTCGGCCGTCTACATATGAGTGCGATATATCTTAAATATCCAACATATAAGAAATCCCGTAGTGGTGGAGTTCCAATTATCCTTTCAACATCAGTATTTTTGTATTTGAGCGCAAAAGTTTCTTCACCATCACTATATCTTTTCTCCTCCAGCCATTGATACCATGAAGATTTCGAATAGCCTAAAGGACGAGGGGAGCCTGGGCACAGAGATTGGTGGAGTATACCAATGAGAGGAGGTTCAACCCCTGCTGCCTCATCCACCAGGGGCGGCTACCTAGGCTATTATTTCGCACGCTGTCACAGGTACACTAGTCTATTTTATTTTCTTTAGATGATTCTTTTTTTAGGTTGACATGCACGCATACTATATATTTAACTAATACAATACTGCAAATGCTGTTGTCTGAGTATTTCTAAACATACCAATGTAGGGTATTTATACATATAATACTGCAAAGGCTGTGGGCTGAGTATTTCTTCCTGTTTGACGTCACGTGCATTAACAAGTCTGATGTACAGTTCAGCCATACCAACCTAAACATACATCACAGTAAAAAATCAACTTATGTATATTTGCCTTCGCTGAGTTCGAAGAAAGCCTAGTATTTTTCTCAAGAAGAATTGAGGATTGTTGAGAGGTTATGTGGATAAATTTATGGTGCTTACTTCGTTTAGTATTATATTTATTGTAATAAGGTAAATACCTGTGGTATTCTGTTGAGCTCGTTGTATGAAAGGTAAGTCTTGATTGGCGGCACTCGAAATGGAATTTTCCACCTAATGTGTTTGAGAAATTTTCAAACTGAGATCAAGAGAGTTAAAAAAWATATATATATATATATTCGAGGTCTAATATTGTTAAGGCGGGGCAGGTGTGCATTGAATACGAAACTGGTTTATTTAGACATAATTTACTATTCCACAGTTGGAGTTTGAAGCGCGAGATGGAGGATGATGCATTGTGTTCTAGCTTCGGTACAAACATGTTTTGTTCATCGCGCCTTATATCGTGTTGTTTGTACCGAAGCTAGACCACAATGCATCATGTTTATCGGAGGGGAAGGGGGGAGGGGTCCGCCGTCCCTGATTTCGTTACCAGTCTTTCGTTGAACTTTGAAAAGGCGACTCTTTATACCTTCCACTTATTAGTCTGTCAGCCGTATCGAAGAGATCCATCTTTGTCCAGCCTTTAGAAAACAGCTTATGAGGATCTTGAGGATCGTCTGTACTGTTGGCTTGTAACTCTGCTATCACAGATAGTGTCTGTATTGGTGCACATCTGGAAGGCAAAGCCATATATGGCGACAGCTGGTGAGGACTATCAAGTGCTGTGATTGGTCAATTTGTGATGGCGGACATTTCCGTTAAATTCAAAGGTATACCAAGCGGAAATCAAGGTCTTCAATCATCAATGTCAACTTTGAAAAGCAATAAGCCTGAAGCGAGATGACGTTTTACCCCCGACTCTATACCATAATAGTTTTTAAAATTCTTTCATATTAAAGTTTTTGATTTCTTAGAGAATACTGGAACAATAGTCATAATTAAAGAACAAAAGTAGTGTGAAAAGGATTATGGTCTAAAGACGGGGGTAAAACGTCATCTCGCTTCAGGCTTATTGTCCCCTTCAAAGTTCCTGCGCCATCTCGAAAAGTGACCGTGCCTGGCAATATATCGAAACGAAAATGGCTGTAACCTTGCAGTGATAGAGACGTGAATAGACCCCTTGCACTGAGTCCCGAGAAGAATTGTTCTGGGGGACAAAACAATGGAATATTTTTCATAAGAAAACACGGTCTAATGTTTTGTCTCCCAGAACAATTCCTCTCGGGAGTCAATGCAAGGGGTCTATAAGTGTCAAAGATGTTTAAAAAGGTCTCTATCATTACAAGCTCACCGTTCGTCTCGCTTCGATCCAAAGGCACGGTTACCTTTCAAGATGGCACAGGAAACTGTGAAGGGGACTACGGTATTTTTGGTGACTTTATATTTGAACTAAATCCACTTACTTTGGAAAAGGATACATTATGCCGAATACAGCAACCCCTCCTGATGGGATCCTCGAGTTGTGCTTGTTCACCACGTTGACAAGTGGTAATACCTTGACATCAGACACCAACTCTGTCACATTGTATATCCCCACAGCCAGCCTACACTTAATGGATGATGAGGGCATACCCAGAACAAAGTCCAAGAACACTGAAAACCCGGCGCTGGCGATAGGAATCAAAACCAAAATCAGTCAGAGCTTGAAACATAGGTAAACCGCAAATTTACCTGGGACGCTAGTTTCCTAGGTTACCCTCACCTCTTTGCAAGGGCGTATCCAAAAAAACAAAAAAACAAAAAAACAAAACATGCTTAATGGAAGTCGAATAGCTTCAAATCAAGGATTACTTGATTTAATAGGTAACCTTACCTGGGGTCGTAAGGACTTGGAAGAAGAGATTTCTCCATGCCACTAGTGGACATCAAAAACGGAGTCTCGTACTTCTATACGCCATAAAAACAAGTGTATATATAAACAACTGCGTTACAGATGTAGCTTATGAATTTCTATTCTCGGTTCCCCCTCACACAAAAGCAAAACAAGGCACCGTTACAGAGGTTTTCCCAGTAGAATTAAATTCTTGTCCCTCAAACAACTACACAGTATCTGTTTTAAAGAGTACTACAAGGGTTACGAGGCATTTTTTTTTTTTTTTTTTTTCCAGGACAGTAAACAATAGAAATTGTTTTTTATTTTTCACAATTTTTGGCTTACTGATTCATCAATTTATTCTCCTGCTCGCAATTTTGTTTCACACCTTTAATAATTTGTTTATTATAGGTTCGGTGAAGCACTCACTTGTTTATCCTCATCGTTTGTCACAACCACTTTATTCCCTTTTATTTCGTTTAATTCCTTTTTCATTCTTTCAATCTCAGTCAATTGTTTCAGCATTTCACTCTCTTGCTTTAAACCAGCCATTTTCTCAAGATGTTCTGCCTTCAACCGCTGGAACTCTGAACTCAATTCTGAAAGGCAATGTAAATGAAGTAATATTTGTTCATTAGGTCGCAGGGTTCGTGCTGAGGTAACCACTTAAAATTCAAGGACTATTCAAGGAGTATACAAGGACCCGGCCAAAAATGAATTTTCAAGGTATGTTCAGCTAACTATGCCAAAGTTTTACATGGCCGACTTTCAGATTTTCCAATCTTACTGACTAGATCTATTTCAGAGCCATGCAAGTAATGATCAAAGCAAAAATTCAAGGAGTTTTCAAGGAGTTTCGCTAAAATCGTAAAATTCAAGAGTTTTTCAAGTGCCCTTGAAAACGTGAATTAAATTCAAGGAGTTTTCAAGGAGTTTAAGGAGTAGCACGAACCCTGAGGTCGGTAATGACTGCAAGTTTTTCTAGCGTTGGCAATACAACAAAAATCGACAATTGCTTTACCCGCATAAGAGAAAAATATGAACATGCATTATGTCTTCTCGCAAAAGCAATGGCAACACTGTCTCAACACTAAATCCCTAAAGTTGTAGTTGTAATTTTCTCTTTAAAATTTCGAAACTTGCAAGCGCGTGCCAATAGACGTTGCTAAAACTGCTTTGCTAACGCAAAAAAGGGCATGTATCGACAGTAATTTGAGTAACGCTCAGCTCACAAGTTGATTTCACCAGAAGTCTTGTAAGAAAAACTGGAGAAAACTCAAAGTAAAAAAAAAATTAATTTTACTTTTAATTTCAGAGTTACCTGGTGTTTTCCTGAGCCCATCATTCTGCTGTCTTTCCATCTAGCACAAAAACAAATACTGGATCTCAAAAACCTGTTCGTCTTGGTGCAATGTTTACCCATTTTAGACGACGTGTCATTCCCTAGAGTATAGCTTTTTTGTTTGAGTTGTATCCATATCCATGTGCAACCATTAAAAATAATACTCTTGACAATGACACGTGGTCTGAAATAGGTAAACATAGCACCAACACGAATAAGGTATATTCAAAATATCAAGACGTCTTGACTAAAAGATGTGAAGAGAGTAGTATAGGGGATGGGGGTTCCAGCGCAACGACCACCGGAGGATTACCCG